TGATCAACTTTACAAATCCTATAAAAATAGTCATCAAAATGAGTGTTGCCATTTAACAAAATCTACGATGACGTCATATCTCTCAACTACACATTATTATTGTATGTAAAGAATCGCGATAGAAAATACTAATCGACGGGTGAGCGCATTTCAAAAAAAAAACAAAAAAAAAAAGTATTTGAACTACTGAATTTATTCCAAACTACATACTCTCTATATATATTTTGTTGTTTAATAAAATTGGTCAAAAAACGAAAATATAACATTGCATCTATTTTTTGGCATTCTATATATATTATACTAATAGACTTGATCCCCTTATAAAGCTTCATTTTTCCTGATGATTTCAATTTGATATCATTTGTTTCAGAGTTAGGATTTTTTTCAATATTTCAACTACCCTATATGCCCTATTGTATTCAGATGTTTTTTTCAGAATCAATGGGCATAATCACCTTATACTAGCTTGATTTTAACTACAAATTTCATATTGATATCTTTTTCGTTTTTGATTAATGATTTTTTTTTTAATTTCAACCAATTCCTGTGTTCCTTATTTTTAATCAATTTTTTAAAAAAATTAAACATCTTCCCCTTACAAAGCTTTCGTTTTTGAGATGGGATTTTTTTATTATTTCAACCCCCCTCAACCCCATTTTTATTCAATTTTTTTCAAAATCAATTATCTCCATAGCTTGATTTTACTAAAAATTTCATGTTGATATCGCTTTTCTTTTTTATTTATTTTATTTTAATTTCAACCCCTCTTAAACCCCATTTTTAATCAGATTTTTTTTATATCAATAGGCTTCGTCCCCTTATAGAGCTTGATTTTTGCCAAACATTTCTAGTTGATTTCATTTTTCGTTTCTGAATTTTTTATTTTTTAATATTTCAACCACCATTTTTATTTAGTTTTGGTTCAAAATCAATAAGCTTCGTTCCTTTATGGAGCTTGATTTTTCCTGAAACTTTCAAGTTGATATCATTTTTTCGTTTTTGACTTATCGTACGGACAAAAATCGTGATATAGGACCGACGGACAATTTTTACTTTCCTATCTGTATACAGATATAAGGAAAGTATAGGAATCATACTTTTTTTCGACCTCGAGTTTTCGACGGATTTTTACGTTTTGAGGTCCCCTGAATCCGTTTTGACTATTTTCGCGATGATGTCTGTCTGTGTGTGTGTGTGTGTGTGTGTCTGTGTGTGTGTCTGTATAACACATAACTCATGAACCGATACACGGAAAAACACCAAATTTCAAACTTAAGCTTTGTTCCAACGTCTAATGAGCTGATTAGATTTTGGGCAGAGTCGGAACATCTGGGGGGGTACTTTATAGGTGGTCATTTTTATATTTTATGGAATATATCTGTTATTTACGTTTGGGGAAGAAAATTCTTCAAATGAAAGTTACTTCTTATTTTATTATCTATAATTTTTGTTATATACAAAATTTTCCTAAAATGGTCCGTATTCGCGAAATTTGACAAAATGTAAAAAAATATTTTTTTTTATAAAAATTGTTCAAACAAAAGTTGTTTGTAATATAATTCTCTATAATTTTTATCCTATCTATAGATAATTTCTCTAAAATGGACCGTATTCGAGATATTTGAGAAAATGTGTAAATTTCGAAATTTGAAGAAAACTCAAAAATGGATAAAGAAAAAAACATTAAATTTTAAACTTAAGTTTTATTTCGGCCTGACGTGAAATGATTAGATTTTGGACAAAGTCGGAACATCTGGGGGGGTACTTTATGGGAGGCCGTTTTTATATTTTATGGAATATATCTGTTATTTATGTTTGAAGAAAAAAATTGTTCAAATAAAAGTTACTTCTAATATTATTATCTATAATTTTTGCTTTATGTAAAAATTTCCTGAAATGGTCCGTATTCGAAAAATTTGACAAAATGTGCAAAATTCTGATTTTTATGAAAATTGTTGAAATAAAAGTTGTTTGCGATATCGATCTCTATAATATTTGTTTATACATGATTTTTTTAAAATGGACCGTAATGGAAAAATTGTAGGAAAAGTGCTAAATTTAAATTTTTCAGTATTTTCATTTTCAATGAATATCTATAGAAAAATGTTTCGCGGTAGATGTATGTGGACAATGTATATATTTAGTTTATCCTCTAAACATTTATAGAGATGCTGCAATAGATTGTACAAAATAACCGGAAAAAGCCTGTAATACCTAGATAGGAAAGTCATGTGTTGGACACATCAGATTTTTTTTTTAAATTTTAAGTTGAATTACCTGATTAGAGAAAAAACCTCATGAATTACCAACATATTTGGTAAATGATATTTCTTACAGAAAAAATAATGGTTCAGATGGTTCTACGGATGTTAATACTTTATATGGAATTAAAATTTCAATTTTCATACAGGTTCTCAGTTCCTACATATAAAGCTCTAAACATATATCGCTACAAGTTTGACAACCAAAGTTAAACAAGCTATTTATAATTTTTTCACAAAATCTTTTAATGGGTTGTTCTTTTTCTTTAATAACTTATATGGTACATATAAGGACATAGTACGTATATATTGATTTACTAATTCTCTTTTATGGTACATCTACTGTGGTATTGTAAAAGGGTAGAAATTGAATATTTTACAGGTTTTGTAATATTCTACTCAACATTTTACGCATGTTGTCCTTCGCCTTGGTACCAATGTTGAACGACTTACCGTGCAATCTAACAATATCCCCAAATCATAATTCTTAAACCAATATTTATTGATAGTCCAGTCATTTAAGCTTAAATTAGGTAAGAATCTCGGAATTCGAGATACCCAGCTGTAAGTCTGTAAATACTTGTATATTGACACCCTAAAAGTTGTCTCAAAACCTACATATAGTAGGGTGTACGCAACTATTAAATTTAAAGGTCAAAGGTCACAAAAATGGGTTTTTTGCGCTTTTTTTGTTAATATCTCATTTCCTATGGGTTTTTGCTATTTGTATTTATTATCAATATTGTAGAATACAAAATTCTCTACAAATTTTGTTTAAAAAAATTCAGACTACAGTAAGAACGTAAAAGCTATGGAGCAGCAGAGAAGAACTGCTGCACTTTCAAAAACGTATGAAGTCTGTTTCGATGAAACAATGGTTGTACCAGTTACTCAAGAAAAATTCGTATCAAATCGAAATAACAAAGATATGCTCATTAATATGTTAATTGAAAAATTACAAGCTGCAAATATTATTACTAAACAAGCCAGAGATGATGCGGATCTTCTTATTGTTAAAACTGCAATTGAAGAATCAAAGTCTGAAAAAACTAGAGTTATATAATAGGACAAGATAATGATTTACTTGTCATTTTAATTGGGCGTACACTCTCTTACGAATAAGAAATTTTCTTTCAAAAAGTTGCGAAAGGAAATGTAAAAACGGAGATATACTCGACTAAAAGTTTTGATAATTATCCTCATTCCAAAACACATTTTATTTCTGCACGAATTAAGTGGATGTGACACAAATTCTGCGCTTTTTAAAAAGGGAAAAAAATCATTTTTAAAAGTTTTTGAGAAACTGACAAATTTGGATGAACTAGCTGCAGCATTTGAGGAAGAAAAATGTTCGGCCCAGAGATTATTAGAGAATGGAACTCAAACCTTATTGGTAGTCTATAATGCTCCAAAATTTGTGAAAAGTCTCGATCATCTTCGTTATATGCATTACGTCAAGTCTACAAAACTTAATAAACCTGTGCAGCTTTCAAATATTCTACCAACAGTGCAGCTGCTCATCAACATTTCAAACGTGTATATTGTCAAGTTCAAACTTGGTTAGGGCATGATTTGGAACCCCAGGTATGGGGTTGAGCAATGCGAAACGATTTTCTGGAGCCTATCATGACAATTTTACCACCTGCTCCAGATAATTTGCTAAATACAATTTTCTGCAACTACAAGAGTGGTTGTGGTTCGCGATGCGGATGCAGGAAAGCGGGCTTGAAATGCTCTTTAGCTTGTGGCCAATGTAATGGGCAAGCTTGTCTCAATGCTCTACCATAGCGACATTAACGAAGATGGAATCTTTGACCCCGAAATCATAGAAGAACTTGAGACAAATGTCGTTGAAGACGATAATGAAGACCAGTTTGAAATTTACCAGTAGCCGGAAGACGACGATGAAGAGAAAGAAGATGATTAAAATTAGTTTTTGTACCCTTTATTCCATTTTTTTACTTTTAATAAAAATAAATGTATTGAATGATATTTTTTAATAAAAAGATTAATTCATAATTTATTTGTTTTTTTTTTCATCATGTAAGAAGGTATTAATATTAATTAGGTTAAAATTCAAATATAATTCCTATATTTTCATTAACAATTCTGCAATTACATGGGCAGGTAAGTGTTGTTAAATAAATTAATACTGAATAAAAAGTGGATTGGTTAGGAAAAAAATTATAAAATATAATATAATAGTTAATAAAAATTGACAAATATTTATATATGGCGCGTTTTCGATTGGAGGCACTGGTTGACCTGAAGTGATGCGTGACCGCGCGCTCTCCGCCCTCTATCTCGAAAACGGTTCACCGTATGAAAATTTTTTTTAAACAAAATTTTAGAGAATTTTGTATTCTACAATATTGATAATAAATACAAATAGCAAAAAACCCATAGGAAATTAGATATTTACAAAAAAAAGCGCAAAAAAACCGATTTTTGTGACCTTTGACCTTGAAATTTAATAGTTGCGTACACCCTACCATATGTAGGTTTTGAGACAACTTTTAGGGTGTCAATATAAAAGTATTTACAGACTTATAGTTGGGTATCTCGAATTCCGAGGTGAACTTACTATAATGACTAGACTATGATTATACATTTTGTTTGGTAAATATTGTATTATTGTGGTCGCATAAAAAGTAATGTACACTACTTTTTCCTTCTACTAATCTAAATACTTTTTCCAGAAATTCAAGATGTAAATGCAAGTATTAGAAGATTCCTCACCTGTACAAATAAATTGTGACCGCCTGGGACGCTCTTCATGATGTGCCTTTCGATTTTTTCGTTTTCCAAAATGGCCATTCCTCTGTCTATGAGGATGGGCGGCGGAGTCGCTTCGAAATTCGTACGAAAATCGGGTGGCGGTTTTTGCATGTCCACAGTGGTCACTTTGAGACTAATAGTTTTCAATTCGGCTAGAAGATAGAGTTCCATGAAGTATTCCTGGCAGAAGAGACAAGCTCCTTTGCGTCTGCCGTCTATGGTGGAGGCCTGAAAGCGAAAGAAAAAACATTATTTATGTGTTTTATTATAAAATTAAGAAATTTTTTAAAATTTTTTTGATAATTTTTAATATTTTTTAATAATTTTTATTAATTTTTAATAATTTTAAATAATTTTTAAAAATTTTTAATAATTTTTAATAATTTTTAATAATTTTTAATAATTTTTAATAATTTTTAATAATTTTTAATAATTTTTAATAATTTTTAATAATTTTTAATAATTTTTAATAATTTTTAATAATTTTTAATAATTTTTAATAATTTTTAATAATTTTTAATAATTTTTAATAATTTTTAATAATTTTTAATAATTTTTAATAATTTTTAATAATTTTTAATAATTTTTAATAATTTTTAATAATTTTTAATAATTTTTAATAATTTTTAATAATTTTTAATAATTTTTAATAATTTTTAATAATTTTTAATAATTTTTAATAATTTTTAATAATTTTTAATAATTTTTAATAATTTTTAATAATTTTTAATAATTTTTAATAATTTTTAATAATTTTTAATAATTTTTAATAATTTTTAATAATTTTTAATAATGTTTAATAATTTTTAATAACTGCAAAATTTAAAAACATTAAAAAAACACATGGGGACGATTACAAACAGTTTAAAATTTTTAAAATACCAGAAACCCCATCTTTTTGTTTCAATGTGTGAAGGAGTATTCGAAATAATATTGATTTAGTTTAACACGATAACCATAACGTAGGGAAACAAAAAGATGAGTTTTTACAAAATTAAAAATTACCAGTGGCGTTACAGTTAAAAATTAGAAGCTTACCAATTGTTTAATAATATTAAAATAAACGTTTGACAAATTTTCTATGTTGTTATTTTTTTAATATGTATCATCTCAAGGATTGTTCTTTTGTTGAGATTAGGTTCATTTTCGAGAATTTTTACATTTTCAAAATCGATAGAGTGCAAATTTTCTAACGTTAGAAATTTTCAAGTTCCTAACTTTAAAAAAAATTGATACTTCCATACAAACTTTCAACCCCCATTTCCCCCCTTAAAATGTGAAAATCCAAAAACTTAAAATTTTCATGTTTCACTACCACTATCCAAAAAATCATGTCTGATTCCTTGCTCTGTGAAAAACAAAAACGAATCTATCCCACGGGAAGGGTACATTTTTCCGGGATAAAAAGTAGCCTATGTGCTAGTCCAGACTGTAAACTATCTTTGTGGCAAATTTCATCCAGATTCGTTCAGCCGTTCTGGCGTGATTGAGCAACAAACAAACATCCATCCATACTTTCGTATTTATATAGTAGTGGGATTCATTAAACTTTGTAGAAATTAAGAGTGGATTTTTTTTTAATTTAGCAATTTATGAATTTTTAAAGAGATGTTATTTAGAGTTTTTTGTTTATCATTAAGTTCATTTATAATATTTCATGTGATCTTGTTTTTATTACTAGACTAGACGAATTTATTAAGCTATTGCATAGCTTTTATAGCGGGCTTTGAGCGCGGCGACCGAATCAAGAAATTCCGTAACACCGTAACGAAAATAAACCTAACACCCCCACTCCGACCGGCACAGCGGTGAGACGTTGAAACTTTCAACTCGAAAGCCGTGGAAGGTTTTATCCGATCCTATTCGTATTAGTATGAAGCGGAGTTAAATATACGTCTGCGGACTGGAACGTTTATGCAATACAAGAACTAGAAGAGCTTTCTCTGGCTTCTAATAAATTGGTATCATAAATGTTCCCGGCTGGCGTAAATATTACGATATTAATTTTTTTTGCAAGATTTATAAAATATTAATTTTTATTTTATCAGTGTTAACTATTTCATTATTAAGCTATTGCATAGATTTTATCGCGGGCTTTGAGCGCGGCGAACGAATCAAGAAATTCCGTAACGAAAATAAACCTAACACCCCCCACTCCGACCGGCACAGCGGTGCGGCGTTGAAAGCCGTGCATCGTCTAACATCGTCTCTTTTAGACACAATTTCGGAATTGAATTTAAAAATGAATAATCATCCACAAGAATCCACAACAAAATATGGGACCATCATTGAAGTGAAATTTTCCAGATATTTAGAGGATATCAAGTCTCAAACTTATGTTTCTTTATTCAGTTACCATAAACCTATAGTTTCAATGATAAAAATTCCTGAATAACCTACATGTATTGTAAGATTGTAGTGTATGTATAAGTTCGCTAGATACGCCACTGGCAGATTTCTTGTAATGCCGATAGGTGGTGGTGGAAGTATCTAGCGAGCGAAAATTAGCATTGTATTTCGAGGTCTAAGAATGAATAAATGTGTTTTGGTTAAGTGGTATACCGGCTTATTATTGTAACCCTTAAGTAATGGGGTTAACATCCCCAATACATCACAAAGATAATAAAAATATTTTAAACAGTATTAACTTCTCATTTATTCATTAAAAGAAAAACATTTGTTTTCTTATCGGTGACCACGCTCAAAAAGTGTAACTTGAATTAATATCAAAGAAAAACCTTGAAAAAATATCAAAGGAAAAAAATACTGCATAAATAAAATAAATAAGTAATTATAATTGCATAAGTTGATAAAAAATGCTATGCAATAGCTTTACCACGGCAGTCCCCGAGTGCCACACGTATTTTTTAATATTAATAATAATAATAATTCTACAAACATGCCATATTGTCCGTAAATTCCTTAATATCTAAGCATAATAAAAGAACACCAAAATAAACAAGTGAGATAGGGTGAATTCCCTTCTCACTACACATTGTAAAAAAACAATAAATAATAATAATAATAATAATAATAATAATAATAATAATTACATTTTATAATTTAAACAAGAGTTTTATATTGCAGTTTGGCGTTTATATAAACTATTTCCATAGTTGAAACGACTTCAGTATATTATATTTCTGATTACTTGTGGTAAGATAACAAGTAATATTTTTTCTTCAAAAAACATTTAAAATATTCCCACGATTGTCCCGATTAAATCGTACGATGAATTACAAATTCTACTGTATTGGATAATTTGAATTTCTGTCATGTTTCGTATCACCTAGTTCCGAAAAAGAAAAGAAATTAAAAAGTGGAAAGAAGATACATCGACCGGACGAAGACTCAATTCACGATACATCTAGTTTTCATTTTGTAATTTTTTGAACTTGGCAAGAATGTGCGTAACGGTTTTTCTATCGTGATTATACGGCTGTGTAGTTATTTATCAGCTAGGCTCTTCACACCATAGATACATATCAGATATTATACATTACAAAAACATTTATTAGTAAAAATTTAAATGTGATAAAGTATCTAATAATCAAAATTCAATTGAAATTGAAATAAAAAAATACGTTTGGAAACTAGTTAAAAATAGGCAGCAAAATAAAGATAAAAATAATTGTGAGGTTGTAAATACTCTTGTTAGAAATTTAGTGTTTAGTGAAATTCAAAATAATAGTTTGTGCACAAGAGTGTATATGATGGACATATCGCACGAAGACGAAATTTGAGCACAACGCTATAGGCGGAGTGCTCAATCGTCTGAGTGCGATGTGGGCAATCCACTCGAGTTTTACAGTATATTTTTTCTACGACTCACTATCGAAAATTTACAAATAAAAAAATATTTTAGGTTATTAAGATAAAATAACTGATTTTAAAATAATTTATTACTTTTAATAGTCCCCAGCCGAGGCTCGAACTTTGGTATCTAGCGTGGAAGATACTCTCACCACTCATCCATCGATATAATTGAATTGACTTCATAGAGTTTTATTAAAATAACAAATTATTTATAATTATAGTATAAATAAAAATAAAAATGCTATTATTTATCGATTCTACACAAAAATAAGTCATTTTAATAATAATAATAATAATAATAATAAAAGCTTTTATTGGTAAAGAACAAAAAAAACAAAATACAGATAGGTTCTAATACAATATTTGCCAAAAGGCAAAGTTAAGTCTAATCCTTGCAAGCAAGGGTGCGTCCTCTCTTCCACTCAACCTATTTAACTATACTAATTAAAAATAATAATAATAATAATAATGATAATAATAAGCTAAGTTGAAGTAATTCCATGTTAGTGACGCAGAAATAATAATATAATTCGAGCGACGCTAAAATGGTGGTTCCCACCTTATCGAGACTGAGGCCCACAAGGGTAAACTCATAGCGTAACAAAAACGAGAAATGATTTAATTTGGAACGAAAGACCTAAAGCAAATAGTAGTATTAGGACGTTGAATTTTGTGTTTTGTGAAGCATTGGCATTACTTAGGTTGAACCATGTGATGATTTTCACAAGCCTTGATTTTTAAAACCATTCTATATTGCCTTTTGATTAGGGTTTAAAAACTTGGAGCAATTTATCCAATAATAATTGGCCCCTTTACCTCTTAGGCCTGCTCATGTAAAATATTTGGGCTCCTTACTTCGCCTATTTATATTCTATTAATAAAGGACAGAAGGATGAGTATTGTAACTATGTTAAAAGAAATAAATTGGCTTTCAGTTCAGAATTATGTTCAGTACATGACTGATATTTATTTATAAAATAAAAATGATATAAATCCATCGCATCAGATCTATTAGAAAAAATTCAGTATAATTCACAATATCACAACTATAATACAAGAAGCCAATCTGACTTTCATGTACGGCAAGCCATCACTAAAAGTTCCCTAAATACAATTTTTATTAAAGGTTAAAAAAATTTAATAGACTGCCTACAGAAATTAAAAAAAAAAACAATAAATGTATTCAAAAGTAACCTCAAACAATACTTGATAAATAAACAGAACGAATATACTTACTTGTGATAATACTCTTTAAACCTGCCCTTTTTAAGCATTCCCCTTAATTTATTGTTATTTTACCCCTCGTTTTACTACTTGCTATGTTTAAATTATTAATAGTTTTGCGACGATAGCCACAAAACTATTTTTGTGTTAAAGTAGATCCATAGAGAGCAATGTAATTTACAAAGTCC